ATCAGTGCAAAATAAACAACTCAGAAAAATACATCGTTTGTCTTATTTGAAAATCAATCGGGACCGATAAAATGGCTCAGACTGATTGAAATGTGACTAAAAAATCGTTGAAAAATAAGACGAGCGCGTCAGGTTAAAACTATGCGAATAGTAGAGCAATATTACCGACGTCTGCAAGCTTAAACTCAAAAAATTTTAATCACTGATTTTTTTGTATATTTGAGAAACAATTGGACCAATCTGTCTGTATATCCAAGAAATTTATTCTGGCTGACATTTCAGGCATTTTTCATCTATGCAGGAGGCATTTTTCATCTGAACCCCACTCTAATTAATCATAACAATCAAACACTCAACACGGGTATAACTCAACGAACCCAATAGGACACAGAACCAAGATGCAAAACAAAAAGGATGAAGAGTAAAAGTTTGACAATCTTAATCAAAGTTCAAAAGTGAGCAAATAGATTGTCTGTCAACACATAATTCAATCCGCGTACCATTAATTTCCTACCACAACAACGACAACTATACATGCTCCTTTTAGCATTACAGTCTGGAATTAAACATTAAGAATGAACCATATAAGATAACAATGTCTTCTTCAAATGTGGAGGAGGAAGAACATAATCAATGCATATAACAATGACTATGTACAAGCTAAGACTTAAATTATCAATCAGAAAGATCTAGAGCAAGACAACAACACGACCATACCGCAAATTATGGCAAAATTATGTTGTTACCCTTCAAAAATTTCCGAAACTTATGAAATTTATAGTAGTATACCAAAAATTTCGATATATATACTAGAAATTTCAGGCTTTTTTCGATTTTTTTAGTAAAAATTTCAAAAATTTTGGAAAAAAAAATGAAGAATACAGAAAATTTTTCCGAAAAAAAAATGAAATTTTTTTTTACACTATCTAGAATTTCGAAATATTCAATTATATATCGGAAACTTTGAAATTTCTGATATAGAACTAGATATTTTGAAAAATTTTGTAGTGTAAACAAACATTTAAAATTTTAAAATTTTTTTCACTATCGAAAGTTTCAGATATAATATTGAAAATTTTTAAATTTTCGGTTTCTTCATATTTTTTTCTGGAAATTTCAATTTTTCCATTAAAAAAAATGAAATTTCCAGTAGTATAAAATTTTTTCACTGGTTTCAATTTTTTTTCAAAAGCATTTTTAAGATTATGAAAGTTTAGGAGGTGATAGATATAATTTAAAGAATGACAGATTAAATTCTCATAAATAAGCAGTAATCCAAATCCACAAGGAACTTGAAAGCACAACATAGAATCCAACGAGAAAACCCAAACAGAGAGTTTCGAGCAATTAGAATGGAGGTTAAAAAATAATCTGCCGAGTAATTTAGGACCAATTTAAAACTAGAATCATTCATGAATGTTTTCTTTTTTATTTAAATTGTTTGTTTGTGTTTTTTTTTTTGGAATTTCTTTACTTTGCAGTTGTGTTTTTTTGGAATTTCTTCACTTTGCATTTGTGATTTTGTAAAGTCGTCTTCTTTTCGCATTTAGTTACGGTTTTCATTTAGTTACGGTTTTCATTTGATTCAAATTAACAATATCATATTTTTTATTTTGAGTCAAAAGCATGTATGAGTGACTATGATGTTACTTGAGTTAAAGTGTCCTTATTTTTTCAAAAAATTCTATTTTGGTAGATAGCGATCATTGATTCTGAAGTCTTTAGCTAATGTATTATTTAAGAATGAACAAATTTGAATCGATTAATTGAAATTGACTGATCTGCTGTCTTTTTTATACAAATAAATTGGGTCGGATCGACTGTCGAGTTAATTTAATTGTTTAATTTGAATAGTATAAAATTGTTTCGGTCAGATTCAAATACTTATTTTGGATTCAAAGAAAATCAAAATCGACCGAACTTAATTAATATATATTTTATTTATTTTTATTATTATATGACTAAGTCACTATAAAAATGAGATTTATAATATTATAGGATATTATCATTTTTATAAGTTAACGATGACATTCTGTACTCCTAAAAATAAAAGACATGCAATATAAAATTTTAAGTATCATTTACTTTATAGTTTAAAGTATGATAATGATTAAAACTAATATCAAATAATTAAAAATATTATTTTGTAATAATAACTTTTATTTTAATATTACAAAAATAGTTCTATTCTAAAAATTTGATATATTTTATAGAAAAAAACTATTTTTTATAGATTTGTTCTAAGAAATATTAAACCGATTAAAACGATCCGTAACCGCCAAACCGATTTAACCGGATTTGATGAAAATCAAAAATTTATGGATTGAAATTGGGTCATAAAAATGAAATTGTGATTTACGTCTGATTTAAGTTTTAGATTTGAAACCGACAGTTTGTATCCCTAATATTATTATTGGAAAAAAGTTTATTTTCTCATTATTTTTATACTTGGTGTATTTCTTTGTTAAAGAAGTTGCTTACTCTAATTTCTGTCATGTGAGGATTGTTGTTGTTATTTTAGGAGTTGTTTCTTTGTTTATTTATTTTGTTGATTTCCATTTTTATTTTTGCCTTAACTAGGCATTTCTTATGCTGATTTATTTTTGTCTGGTTATATATATATATATATATATATATATATATATATATATATATATATATATATATATATATATATATATATATATATATATATATATATATATATATATATATATATATATATATATATATATATATATATATATATATATATATATATATATATATATATATATATATATATATATATGCTATTAATTTTAATATTCTCTTAATTTGAGTGAAGAAAAATAGTTTTATTTTAGTCGATACAAAATTAAATAATGATAATTAAATTTGAAGAGTGAGATCGTTCATTTAATATATGTTAATTGATTTAAATGAATAAATTTTTTGATTTAGAGTTCAATTTTGGTCGCTAATATTTATTTATTTATACATTTATGTGAACACGTTCTTGATATTTATAAATTAATAAATTTTATACAAAATTAAAATTTATTAATTAACATATTTGAAAGACTATTCATTAAAATAAAAATTTTAAAAATCCTAAATTAAATTTATTATTTTTTTTTAGAGATTAAAAATTTTAAAACATGAAAATGAATTAAGAGTTTGCAAATACAAGTGAGTGGATGAGATAACTCAATATTTGCAAAAGTTGATTCAATCTTAAAGATAATAATTATAAATAAATTATTGCTATTTATAAATCATCGATTTTTAAAAAATACAAATAAGTTTTGAATTTAGCGATATCAAAATATAAAATGAAAGTTAAATAGATAAGAAGAAGAAAAAAAACAAATACTAGAAAGAAGTATGTGTTGGGAGAGTTATAATAGTTTTACATATTTAATTTAATTATGAATTCCAATATTATTTGAGTATAAATCTTTATTTAATAATTTTAATTATTTATTAATTAAAAAATATTTGATTAATGATTAAATTGAGCAATAAAATTAATATATTTTATAATTAATTGAGGGTTCACTGATTTTGGATTAAATTTTTTTTTTTTTAAATCTAAAACGTTTATTTAATATCCTAAACTGAAACTCCATAGTTTTTAAAAGAATAAAAATTCATTTATGAAAAGAAAATATATATGATTAGATTTTTATTTTAAAGTTAAAAGTATATTTTAAACAAAATAAATTTTTAAAATTAAAAAAAAAACACTATTAAAATGATAAAAGTAAATTTTGTTTTAAAAAATAGGAAAATGTTAATAAGTGCCCTCAGGGCATTGGTTAAGAGATTAAAATGGTAAGTTGGGTATTATTTAAGAGATTAAAAATACATTTTTTTTCTAAATATATATGTATTCAATGCACAGAGAAATAATCAGACTTTTAAAAAATATTGTGTGTATTAAGTAAACTAAATATAACATATTTTTCTCATTTAAAATTCTTAACTAGTGCCCTGAGAGCACCTGTTAGCATGACAAAAAAATAATATTTTCTTTAAAAAGTTCACAACAAAGTCACCTTGAATTTTGAATTTCGTTTAGCAATAATTAGAACCAACGTTGGACTCTATATTTAAATAATGATAAGCTTTGACTAAAAAAAAAGCTATTAAAATAAGTAATAAAAAGGGAGCCAGCAGAGCTACATACATTACAACACAACAAAATCAATAGAAAGAAAAAAACAGAATTTACATTTGAAATTAGCGGAAAAGACTTTGCTGTCCCTGGAACCTCGTATGAAGTGGGGCCTTGTTAGCGTGTATCTGAAGTGGACCCAGATAAGGGTATCTGAGGTAAACATTGTACTATGTATATAAATATGGATCTCACTTTCATTTCAAGATTGTGTCGTGTTTTTTCTTTCGTTTTCTTTCTGTCTCTTTTCCAATCTTTCTGGGTGATAGAGAAAACCTAGAGATGCATTGCAAATGCAGCCTGAGTGATCCTCTTTATTCAGTAGCAATGTAAGCTCTTATTTCATTTCTCGTTTATTTTTCATTTAAATGTTGAATTATTGATCCATCATATTTTATTCATTAGTTTTGATTTTAGTTTTACAATATTGCTTTTGTATGTTTTCTGGTGTCAGATGTATACATATTTCATATTTTTTTATTCTCAGATATTCTTAATCTTTAACATGTTCATTGTATCAGTGTTTTTCATTGTTTTTATTTTTTACTTTTTTTTACAGCTATGAACACCTTGTCATTTTCCATTTTAAATAAAAAAATGCTGTTTTTTTTTGCTATATATAATACATATATTAAATTAGCAAATAAATACAAATATAATTCAATTCCTTGCCAGCTATATTTTATCAATACAAGGCTAATTTTCTTTATTTATTCGTTTCAGGATATTCATCATTACTCATGGTTTATTTTGTTGAAACCCATTGCAATTGCAAGGGTATAATAGAGAATTAGAAAAGTAGCATATTTTAGTTTTGATTTTTGATGTGAAAAATCAAGGAATGGATACATTGAACGAATATTTATTAAGCCAAGCTGAATACATAGCTTCTTCTCTATATAGCTATGCATTGAGGGTGAAACGGAATCGTCGTAAAAATAGTGGAAATTATCGTTATTGTTTTTATCGTTATCATGGTCTTCAAACCCTAGTTCATTCGGAAGATGCAAAACTAACCGGGAGAATTCTACATTGTTACAATTACAACATTGATAAAACAAGAATTGCACTATCACATGGTGTTAAGACATCTTTGTTGTGGGAGAGATTGTCGAACTCGTTATGGTCATCATCGTCGGGTTCGCCTGGTTTGCGTTCGACTGTGATGGGCGATTTGATTGGAACAGAGAGTGGAGATTGTATGAGTTGTGATTTACTTGAGCTTCTAGGTCAAGATCGAAGTGAAAAAAAAGGGTTTGTGTTCAAAGAGAGGGAGAAAGTGAAGAAGGAGTTTCCTCCCGCAATAACATTATTGAGAGAATCGGGAGGCGTGATGCCGTGGTGTATTAGAAAGGAATGTAATGAGGACGGGAGGTTGATTTTTAAGACGGAGCGAATTAAGTGTTATTATGAAAACATGGAGGCTCAGAGAGAAAATGGTAGACTTACCATGAGGCTAATCTATTATCAGGATGAGGATGATGACTATGATGATGGATGGCCTATTGAGGACGATAATGAAGATGAAGAAAAGAGTGGTTACGATGAATTTGAAATGGAATTAGCAAAGGAACTTGATAGTAGTGAGACGCGGAAGAATGAGATCGGGCGATGTTGGGCCGATTTCCGGCCGTGTGTTTCTTATGGTGGTGGAGGGTTTGCTAGGGATTCAGGATCGTTCTATTTGGGTCAGTCAGGTTCTGCACCTATTACTTATGTTATGTGATTTGATTTTTTGCCAAATTAATAAATAAACTCTTAAACTTTTCGTATGATATACTATTTTTGTTTGTCCTTCAACATTTTGTCTCCGACATTTTAAGAGTTACAACATTTGCTTGTTGTAATTTTCATGGGTGTTCGTTGTTCATTTGAAGAGATTAAATAAATATAAATAAATTACTATTAGAAATTATACGACATCTTGTGAATATACCAGCTTGCGGTATTTTTTTAATTAAATGAATCTCATCAATATTTATGTTTATTATATGTCTTTTATGAGTTCAAAATTATAGTTTGATTGTTGGAATATGCGATGATAATTGATTGACAGTGTAAAATTAATTTACATTGTGTCAATGTTATTCTATTTTCTCACTTTATATTACATCTATAAATATATATACTAATTTTAGTGGCGAATCAGTTCAATTTGGATCGATTTTGATTTAAAAAAATGTTTAAATAAGTGAAATCTATGTTAGTTTGGTTTAGTTTAGTTTTTACTATTTTTAAAATGATACTCATCTAAACTAATCGAGTTAGTTCAACTTAATTTGATTCGGTTCATTGGTTTGAAATACTTTTTTTCTTTATATAATAGATTCATACAGTAAAATTCTATTTCGTTTAATTATTTTTTTACAAGATCAAATTAAATTAATTCATACAACATAATCAAAATGATGATACTTCACCATCAAATATAAATACTTTCTTTTTGAAATTAAATAAATTCATACAATATATTGATAGTTTACTATCAAATACAAATCAATTCATACTATATATTTAAATTGATAATAGTTCTCCATCACTTACAAACACTACAAAATATTTGAGTTCTAGTGAGGTGTTTACGCCGGGAAAAAACACCTCACAAAAAGTAACTTTGCCAATAGAAATATTCTTTGCAATGCAATTATAGAAAGAAAAATCAATTTTACACAAGTTACCCCTCACAAGTTTTTGGAAAAAAATTAAAAATTTTAAAAAATAATTTTGTTAAGAATAAAACACCTCGTAATTTAAAAAAAAAATTATTGAAAGAAATTTCTACCGGTTGTATTTAGTGAGTGGCAGGGTGACAAAATAATTGAAATTGTCATGGGTTCGATCCCCAACAATAACATATTTGTAAAAACTGAGAGAAAAATATATTTTTCTAAAATGCAAACTGCATTACTTACACTAAATATTAAATTAAATTGTCTACACTAAATATTAAATTACATATAATATTTAATTCAAAGTTTTTAATGTTACATTGTTTTAATTTTCAATCTACAAGTACAAATTAAATTACACTAAATATTAAATTAAATTATTTACACATAATAATTAAATTACATAGAATATTTAATTCAAATTTTCTAATGTTACATTGTTTTGATTTCAATTTAAAACTACAAACTTTTGATAAATCTGATTCATCATCATTACTTTTAATAAATTCAAATTTACCTAATATTTTTTAAGTTCAATGGTTTGCATGCTTCCAATGATATAACGTAAAAAAATGGTGAGATACATAACATAAAATTCAAGTAAAAAGAGATGATATTATGTAAGAACACCAACCTTGTAACAATTTCTTCCCCCGCACTTGCAATCCACCCCAATAATCTATTCCAAGCTTTCATTATCAATGTTTTTATAGAAAATATTTTCATTATAAATGTTTGAGTAACATCCAAGATATATAGTGGTGGTGTTCGTGTTCTTATTATATATAGAGGGATTCTTATGGATTAATGTGTTGGTAATATCTTGGGCATTGTTACTTTATTAATGTAGGACATATATTGTTTGTTGGATAACTGAGTAATTATATCCCTCCGTTCTTTTATAAAACTAATGGAAAAAGTTATTTCATTATTAATTATAAAATAAAATAAACTAGGGAATTTTCCCTCGAGTTTATACAAAAACCGAGGTAATATATTAATTGCAAAAAATATAGTGAATGGTAAAAAATTGAAAGTAACATGTAATGTTTCTTTTTTTCAATTTTTTTTTACCATTCACCACTTTCTTTGTGTGCAATTTAAAATATGTTTAGGAATAAATTTCTCAATGATATCAACCGAGAAAATAAGTAAATAATCACGTGAGATGGATTATAATTTACAATTGAGGAGTGTTTTCCTTGATGGACAACATAGAAAAGTTATTCCAAAATATAACAATGGGCTTGCAAAAAAGTGGAAACAACAACAACATAAAAAAAAACATCATTAGGTGAGATGGATTGCAAGAGATGAAAAAATGTTTTTTTCAAAATTGGTGTTAGAAGAACAACATATAACACAGAATCTTGAAGATTTTTTCAGCTTTGCATTTCATTATAAAAAATGATATATACGAGTTTGGAGCGACTATGTTTTGGGTAAAACTTAATGAACAAGTATTTTTATAGTAAGATCAAACCCCTCAGTAATTAAAGAAACCGAAGAAATATACCAGTTAATTAACAAATAAAAAAACTAAATAAAAAGAAAGATATAATTTTTAAAGAAATAGCACTTAAACTGCTTTTGTTGGGATTCGAAGCATCTCATGAAATACTTTTTTCATTAATTATATTCAATATCTTAGGGAATACATGATATTTTATTTTTTTTAAAAATAAATCATGGTGCTTCTTGGAATTATACCTAGATTTTTTTGGTGGGTGAAGTGAAAGCATTGTCATGAAGTATATTATTTATAGTAGTGTTCTGACTCACTTTTGTATTACAAGTAGTTAAACACTTCACAACGCCACACATATGTGCACGCGCTAACACATAGTGTATGAAAGAATGACACATGTGTTGCTAGGAGTTATTTACTACACAACGTGAAAAGTCAAATTTTTTGCTAGGTGTAAAATCCCCCGTATCGTGCATTATATATTAAAAACACTTTCTTCTTCCTCCTTACTCCTCATTTTTCTAAAATTTATTTCCTCTCACATTTCATTCAAGTAATTCCCTCTCTATTTTCTTTTCAACTATTCAAAACTTTTCACTTTTTAATCAAAATTTACTAAAAACTTTAAATAAATCAGATTTAAGAAGAAATACCAAACTCTCCTTCCTTTTAAGATTAAAGAATCAAATTGAATTGAAAGCTAACTTGTCTCCAGAGTTGTTTTCTCTTCTCCATTTTTATAAGGCACACATTTAAAATTTAATTTTTGTTCATATATATTGAGTTGTGTTAGTTATTTTAGAATCAAATATGTTATATTTAAATGTTAGATTAGGTGATATGTTTGTTCTGTTGGAAATTCACCTCACACCCTATGAAGAATTCCCTTCAATCTTGATCTCAAGATTGACGAACAAACCCACAATATGATAGTAATGGTAATAACAAGTAATTATCAAGAACAACAAAAGAAAAGAAGAACACACAAGAAAGAGAAGAATGAGAGAAGAAAATATTTGGAGAGAATGTGTTACCCACAACTGTGGGATTTCTTATTGCTTATAGAACTTTCACTTGCTAAACACTGCAATTGTGAAATCTGTTCTATGTGTTGTTGTGTTTGAATACAAAACAAGGCACCCTATTTATAGTTTTAGGTTTACACAAGCCCAAAACATAAAAGACCCAAAATATTCAAATCAAATCTAATCATATCAAATCAAATCAAAACAATGAATTACATTTAACACACCACCTAATTCATTGTGTCTAAACTATCTACATTTATCATGGCTCTTAGTCTTCTGAAGGCTTCGACCTGCACTCCCTTCGTTATGATATCTGCAATCTGATTCTCAGTTCTGCAGTGTTCCAACTTCATCTTCCCTTCTGCTACCTGCTCTCAAAGATAATGGAATCTCATTTCGATGTGCTTGCTTCGACCATGAGCTATTGGATTCTTCGCCAAGTTGATAGTTGACATGTTGTCTATCTTCATGGTAATTGCTCCATGATTCTTCCCTGTGATTTCTTCGCCTTGTTTCACAAACCCAACTGGTTGTGCAACATAAACTTCTTCGTCTAAGGGGCCATTAAGGAATGCACACTTCACGTCCATCTGACATGTGTGCCAGTTGTTCATATTTGCTAGACCAACAACTAACCTAATTGTTTCGATTCTAGCAACAGGTGCGAATACTTCATCAAAGTCGATTCCTTCCTTCTGAAGAAATCCTTTCGCCACAAGTCTCGCCTTGTGTCGAGTTACTTCTTCTTTAGGATTTACCTTTACCTTGTAAACTCACTTCACATCAATTGCCTTCTTGCCTTGTGGCAATTCGACAAGTGACCAGGTATCATTGACTTCGATGGACTCCAACTCTTCAGTCATTGCTTTCATCCTCTTCGAATCTTTCAATGCCTCAGCTGCATTGACAGGTTCGACATCTGCGTAAAAAGCATAATGTACCAACTCACCCTCTTCATCGACTACATCATCTGATGTAATTACACATTCTTGCAACCTTGCAGGCATGTGTCTTGTTCGTCGAGGTCTGCTTGAACCTGTTTCATCTGCAATTGGTTCCTGTCGAACTTCTATTTCAACTTCAGTGGCTGGTTCTTCACAAGAGATTCTCACTGAATCCTTCTTGGCATTCTCAGTCCAATCCCATTCTTTAAGCTCATCTATGATCACATCCCTGCTGATCACTACCTGCTTATTCACTGGGTCGAACAGCTTGTAACCTCCTGTCGAATGATATCCTATCAAGATCATCTGATTCGACTTATCATCAAGCTTCCTTCTCAACTGATCTGGCATATGTCTATGTGCTATAGATCCAAACACCTTCAAGTGACTAAGACTAGGTTTGACACCAGACCAACATTCTTCTGGTGTGATTCCTTCAAGCTTCTTCGTCGGACATCTGTTCAATATATATGTTGCTGTCGAAATTGCTTCTCCCCATAATTCTTTAGGTAGATGTTTTCCATTCAACATACTTCTCACCATATTCATGATGGTTCTGTTCTTGAGTTCTGCAATTCCATTTTGTTGTGGAGTGTAAGGTGGCACCACCTCATGCA